CATTTTTCCGTATCTCCTATATTTGTCGAGATACTTCACCGGTCCGGTACTTTTCCCTCACCCTGTATATCGAAAATCGTCGTTAGGCCTATTTTTGCTATCATTTTTAGATACCTGTAGAGTGTAGAAAATTTTCAGATGTAAGGATGGTCAACAACATGACGAAATCATTTATATAAGATATAACTTTCATCTTATTATAAATACAAGAATATGAGTGGTCGAGGACATAGGATAGAAGACTGAAGAGCTGATGATCCCAGGTTCGAATCCAGCAGTGGTAAAACAAATTTTTCACATATGATATTTTAATTATAAAATAACATTAAGAGATTAGAAGGTTACTAATTCTGATGTAGAGGGAATGAAAATAACAAATAAAAAGTCTATTCCAAATTTTTTTTTATAAAATGCGTAACCCATGTAAGAACTTCACTCTTACCCGACTCGGTCCTGATCCCTATCCCGATGAAGTCTCAGTCAGCTAAACCTGATAAGTTTTTCATCGGTTAGCTGCGTTACGCTGGGATAAGTTCATCACCGGGTGAACATTATCAGTTCCCGATTTTAGGTTCGGTTTGCCCGATATTTTCCCGATGTAAACCGAACGAAATTTCTACTCGGGTACAGACAGCACAGTCTGATCAGTCGAAATCTGAGGGTGCCGAAAAAGAAGCAGCTTCTTCAATGAAAACGACATCTCCTGATGCCGTGACCGCACATGCCACAAGCATGTCTAAAAGTATGAACACACTTTTGGCTACCGCAGTTGTAACGGCTGAGACTAACGACGGATCTCAAAGATCTTGTCGTATCTTGTTAGATTGCGGATCACAAATTAATTTAGTTTCACGAGATTTTCTCAATACTTTGCGTTTAACTCCGCACTCTGCAAACCTATCTATATCGGGCATAAATGATACGCCCACGCATTCTTCCCAAGCGGTACGAATAAAATTACGTTCACGTCTCAATTCATATTCCGTAATAATTGATTGCTTCGTGGCAGATCGCGTAACGGATAATGTCCCTGCGCGTAACTTCCGGAAATCAACGTTTGATTTAGCGCGAAATTTCAAACTGGCCGATCCTAATTTTCGTATCTTCTCGCCTATTGACATCTTGGTCGGTTCTGCAATATTTTGGAACATCCTATGCGTAGGTCAAATCCCGGCCTCGGCTAAGCATCCGGTCATGCAAAAGACTAGATTTGGTTGGGTAGTAGGGGGTGCAGCGAATAACTCCAGTGAACACGGCCAGAAGGCGTTGTCTTTGCACGCCGCGGTTAGCAATATCGAGTTGCATGACCAGCTCAAAAGATTCTGGCAGCTAGACGAATTTCGTAATAATAGTACTTACACGCCAGAGGAGCAATTCTATGAAAGGCATTTTTTGGAAACCGTTTCCAGGGATCATAAAGGCAGATATATTGTAAAACTACCGCTAAAAGAGGATTTAGTTGGCCTCCTAGGATCTTCTAAAGATATCGCATTAAAGCGATTGCAGGGTTTAGAAAAACGATTTAATCGCGATCCTCTGTTAAGGGAACGTTATTCTAAATTTATAAACGAATATATAGCATTAGGTCACAGGAAGCCTATCACAGAGCATCTGTCAGATGAAACAAGGGCATACTATTTGCCACACCATTGTGTCTTCAAGGGCACCGCTGAAGGCGATAAAATACGCGTCGTATTTGATGCCTCGTGCAAATCGGATACCGGGTTATCCTTAAATGATATTATGATGACAGGACCGGTCGTACAAGAGGATCTTATATCCATACTCACGCGTTTTCGGACCTATAAGTACGTACTTGTGGCGGACATCATTAAAATGTATCGTCAGATACGGCTTCATCCCACTCAAACGCGATTGCACAGGATTTTTTGGCGTAAAGACGATAGGGTGGAGGCTTATGAGCTAGTCACACTCACGTACGGTACTACCGCCGCGTCCTTTCTCGCCACGAGGTGCATTAAGCACCAAGCAGAACAGTGTGCTGACGCATATCCAATCGGCTCTCTATGCGTTGCGCGCGATCTATACATGGACGATATGCTCACGGGAGCTGATACGTACGAAGATGCGCTGGCAATACGCGATCAAACTATAGAGTTGTTAAAAGAAGGATCGTTTGAATTGAGTAAATGGGGCTCAAATTGTCTCGAGCTACTAAAGGGTATGAGCGAGCAGGGCGACAGGCTTATATCCATTAATAGAGGTCTTAATTTCCGCGTCTTAGGCATTCTGTGGGATCAGGTCAACGATACGTTCCACTTTTCTTATAAAGCCGTTGCTTTCAAATCCTGTCACGAAACGGTAGATCTTATCAGAGGTGTCGCAATTGTTTGACCCTTTAGGGCTGCTAGGGCCGATCATCGTAGTGGCAAAGATTATATTACAAGATCTTTGGCAATCCGGTATAGAATGGGACGAGTCGGTACCGCAGGATACGCACACGAGGTGGCTGCAACTTAAGCTACAATTAGCAAATCTCGAGCGATTACAAATTCCGCGTTGGGTCAGAGCTCATACAGACCGCCAACGAATGGAGGTACACGGTTTCTGCGACGCCAGTCAGCGGGCTTATGGCGCATGCATTTACATTCGCACTAAAACCGAAAAAGATAGCTACGAATCCGTTTTACTTTGTACCAAATCTCGGGTCGCGCCGCTCAAGGCCTTGTCGTTGCCGCGTCTCGAATTATCAGCCGCATTGCTCCTTGCTCAGTTAATTCATAAAATAAAGGCATCAATTGATTTGAGGGAAATAAAAACATGTCTATGGTCGGACTCAACCATAGCATTAAGTTGGATCGCGTCCCCATCTCGCAAGTGGTTGCCCTTCGTCGCAAACCGCGTGGGGGAAATACAAAGATTAACGGAAAGGGATCATCGGCGTCACGTTCGATCTTCCGAAAATCCAGCGGATATCATATCCCGGGGTCTATTGCCCGACGAGCTAATATGTTCAGAAATTTGGTGGCATGGTCCCGCCTTCTTACAATTACCTGAAAAACAGTGGCCTAGTGACGAGGTCGTGTCGCTTCCCGACGAAAGCCCTGAGCAGAGGAAAATATGTGCCGTTGCTGTATGTTCGGATGACAGTATAATTAGCAATCTACTTGACAGATTTTCCAATTTAAATAAAATATGTCGCATCCTTTCATATTGTCTCCGACTTTCTAAACGACAGAGATTTCGACCGGCGACAGTCACGGTGTCACCTAAGGAAATGATCCATTCATTGGATGTAGCATGCAAGGTCGTTCAAAGGCAAGCATTCGCAAGCGAGTATGATTCGCTCAGCAAAAACCGTGATATTAGTAAAAATAGCAGAATCTTATCTCTTTCTCCTTTTATGGGAGAGAATGGATTGATCAGGGTCGGTGGTAGGTTGAAGAACTCAAACTTATCATTCGATGCCTGTCACCAAGTAGTATTGCCTTCGAGTCATGATTTGACAAAACGTATAATTGAGTTAGAACACGTACGTAATATGCACTCAGGTCTACAAGCCACTATGGCCACAGTGAGACAAAGGTTTTGGCCTCTCTCTTTGAGATCGGTTACAACCCAGACAGCACATGATATTATACGAATATTCTAGACTCATACTATAAATGTACGTACTGTACATAATATACTGAGAATATCTCTATAATATCTCCTGTAGTATATGAGTTTTCGTATATTTTTAGGATGTTTTCAGAACATCTTTTACAGTATATTATTTTTCGCATATTCTCGTATATTTTCAGAACATGTAGTACTAGTAACCACTTACTGCCGCGATGTGGCGACCGCGCGTTAGCCTTCTCGTAAGTAAAAATCATTCTGTATAAGAGGCGAGCCGATATGATCTGACAACTGGTTGTCTGGATGATGGATAAACTTCAATGACCTGAATATACTTTTGATGATTACATAATTTATAACACATTTTGAACATTATTTATTTTTAAGGTTAAAAATTAAATATTTTTAATAGGATGCCTACTGATACCCTACTACCCTCCTATTAGAAATTATAAGGCGTAACAAGGGGCAAGTCATGACGTCTTGATAAGGAAAACCTGACCAGGCAATTAATTATGTGATCAAAATATTTTATTAATATACCTATGATATACCAAGAAATATTCTCAGTATATACTGACAATGAGTAGGCTTCTAGGGCAGACATAGAAACATCCTCCGTACATTCTCAAAATATCGTGGTACGTATTTCGAATATTAATGGAATATACACAATCTACGTTTGCGATATACTGCGTATATACTCAGAATCTACCTGTGCTGTATGGGAAGGAAGATTCTCGGCAATTGCATCACATGTTTTAAGGTAAAGCCTATAAGTTCGGAGGCTATGATGGGTTCTCTACCAGCGAGCCGCGTTAACGTATCGCGACCATTCACGCACTGCGGAATCGACTATGCCGGACCGGTAATATTAAGGGAGGGCAAGCGACGTAATTCGCGCAACCATAAGGCGTACATTGCCGTATTCGTGTGCTTTGCTACGAAGGCGGTGCACTTGGAGATCGTAAGTGATCTCACAACCGATGCTTTTATCGCGTCTCTCAAACGGCTTATATCGCGTAGGGATAAGCCAAGATGTATTTATTCCGACAATGCAACTACGTTTGTTGGGGCGCAGAAGCAGATAAAAGAGTTATACGATTGGCTTAAAGCCGATCAAGCACAGGATTCCATAGGGAATTTCTTACGCGATAGTCGAACCGAGTGGAGCTTTATTCCTCCCAACGCGCCGCACTTCGGTGGACTTTGGGAGGCGGCCGTTAAATCTACTAAGGTGCATCTGACGCGTATTGTAGGCGGTGCGCATTTAACATTCGAAGAAATGAACACGGTTTTGTGTGAGATCGAAGCTATTTTGAATTCGCGCCCTCTCGTACCGTTAAGTTCGGACCCGAATGACATGAATTACCTAAGTCCCGGACATTTTCTGATCGGTGAGCCACTTAATAGTTTTCCTACCACTGACTTAAGCGACATAAATGTAAATACACTCAGTCGAAAAAAAAGCGGTACACCTAAAATTTGTCAAAAAATCA